GGCGGCGCGGGGGGGGGCGGCGGCGGGGGGAGCGGGGGGGGCGGGGGCGGCGGTGGAGGGCGGCGTCGCCGCGGCAGGGACCATTTTGCTACTATCAGAACGGCATCGCTGGTCACTCGACAAATCCAGGAACATGAGCAGGGTTCGGCGTTAAGAGAGCAGATGTCCGGGTAAGAAACAGATTGTTTCGCTCCTGGTCAGCGTCGGAGCTGGAAAGAGACAGGGGGAAAAAAGACGGGGAAATTGGAGGAAAGAAATAAGAAGAGAAATCTTTCTGACTGACCGTTGTGCACCACCAAACAGGTACAAGCGGATGAGGCGGCAACACCAGAAGCAGCTGATGGGTCTGGAGAACAAGCTGAAGGCCGAGATGGATGAGCATCAACTGAGACTGGATAAAGAGTTGGAGAATCAGAGGAACAGCTTCTCAATGGAGGGAGAAAAGTTCTCCAAGAAACACCAGGCTATCCTGGAGAAAGAGGTGAGCTAAAGGAGAGGAGATGTCTCAGAACTGAATAGTTTGGTAAAAAAAATAAATAAACAGGGTTACCATTTTCTGGTCTGTTTGATTTCATCCTGTAAAAAATATCTTAATTACATTTTTTTTTTTGCCCTATTTTTCTTTGTAGACAAAGGCTGTCTTGACTGAAGAGAAGAAGTTCCAGCAGCACATCCTGGCACAGCAAAAGAAGGAGTTGACCAGTTTGCTGGAATCCCAAAAGCGACAGTACCGACAACGCAAGGAGCAGTTAAAGGAGGTTAGTCGGGGTCACGCCATCGCTGCCGTCAATCAGGATACTCCAGCGTAGATATTTTTATATGCTGCACTTTATTAGAACACTTATATTTATATTCATGAGAGTGAATGAATCAGGTGTTGAACATGTGTGTGGTGGTTTAATCATTCAATTTTTATTAACTGCTACCCAACCCCATTTGAATTACTGTTGATTTCACATAGTGTGTGAACTAAGATAAATGACATGTACGAGTCATGCATAAAGGCTAAATTGCTAAAACGCTTTTATCATTTTCTACGCCATCTATTGGGAAAATGTGGGCATTGCAGAGAAAAGGCAGAAGTATAATGGTAATATAAATAAATTATATCATTTGGAAAAGTTTGGCAGACCGGATTAGAATGCTGAACAGGCCTTAGTTTGCCCATGCCTGTGCTAAATCAAACGTTTCTTATTTCTTTCACCTACTAACCACTCTTGGCCACTGTAGGAGCTGAATGAGAACCAGTCAACACCGAAGCGTGAGAAGCAGGAGTGGGTGGCGCAACACAAAGAGTCTCCGTTGACGCTGCAGGCCGAGGAGGAGGCCGGTCTGCTGCGACAGCAGAGGCAATACTACGAGGTTCAGTGTCGCCAGTACAAGAGGAAGATGCTGTTGGCGCGCCACAATTTGGAGCAAGACCTGCTTCGAGAGGTACTTGTCGTCGTCCGTTAGCATCTCGGGGGGGGGAAACCAGAATTGTCCCGGTGAACTTTTAGTTAGTTATTGGCTATCCCTGAGCCCAAACATCAACAAACAAACATCTCTGCTCCAGAGCTGGCTAATATATCATCAACTTTTAAATGATCACATGTTTATCGACAGATGTCTTATCACAAAGGCAGTAGGATGGTAAATACATGTGTTCTCTCTCTCTTTTTTTTTTTTTTTTTTTTTCTCCAACGTTATGCTCATGTTTGGGTGTGGCTATCTGGTACATTTTTTTAGTCACATTTACTTTTTGGAGAGAATTCCAGGCTTTAATTTAAGTGAAGCGTGAAGTATTATTTCTAATATTTAAGGAGATTTGTTCCACGGCTGTCACTGATTTGTGACTGTCGATTACACGTGCATGACGTTTTTAGGACAAATGTACACATTTTTGTACAAATAGGCAAAAGGGAAATTCTTTCAAACCTATACCAGCTCAAGTATTTTCATTTCATATTCAATACTTTTTCAGGTTGTGTTGCGATAAATATGAAATGTTGTCGCTGGCTAATGCAGTGTTATATAGAAAGGAAGCTCTTAGCGAAATAGGGTGAGTCACTATTAGTAACATTAGACCATATATAGAAAAAAAATAAGTTTAAAATAAATTAAGAAGTATATTAAATGGTATATAAATGGCCAGTCATATTTGCTGAGAGAGAGAAAGTGTTCTGTTTTCAGAATGATGGGCACATTTTGCTTTTATTTCTAAAAGGAACATTGTTGTGAGTAAAAAAGTTGCCCAAAAAAATGCATCAAATGATATACAAAAAATATTTTTGGCGTTTTCTTATGTGTCGGGCTTCGCATCTGAGCCGGACTATTACATCAGCAGCACATTGATTTATAAACAAGTCTGCAACTTCAACTACTGCGTTGTTAAAATGCATTAGGAAATGTGGTCGTGTTGAAAAAGTTGTTGCTGATTATTAGGTCCCTAGGATGAGCACGTGTTTTTTTCGTGTGCAGGCATGACCGTTTGAATGAAGTATCAAACCAGATACTGATACCAGTACATTTTATATCACATGAATCCTTGTATACTATATTTTTTTGTGTGTGTCCATGTCTTTATAGCAATTTTTTCCATTGTTATTAGCACTAATAAGGGAGTTTTTTAGAGTGCCGGAACAGATTAATTTTTTTTCTGGTTATTTCTTATGGGAAAAAAATGATTTGCGATACGAGCACCTGGAGTCACGAGCTCGGTCCTGGAACGGATTGTGCTCGTATCTCGAGGTTCCACTGTGTTGGTTTCAGTGCAGTAAGCCGTGCCTTTTGTTTCCTCGTCCAGGATCTGAACAAGAAGCAGACCTTGAAGGACCTGGAGTGTGCCATGCTGCTGCGTCACCATGAGTCCACGCAGGAGCTAGAGTTCCGCCAGCTGGGTTTGGTGCAGCACACTCGGGCCGAGCTCATCCGCACGCAGCATCAGACGGAGCTGACCAACCAGATGGAGTACAACAAGAGACGTGAGCAGGAGCTTCGTCAGAAACATGCCGTGGAGGTCCGCCAGCAGCCCAAGAGCCTCAAAGTGAGTGACAGCGCCCAAATCCAGAGCCAGGGGTCGCTCGAGGAGGGGGAGGGGATGAGCCCTAGGTGCGACTGTGAGGAGAAGGTGAAGGACGAGGAAGTTGAGATGCAGAAAGTGAAAGAGGATGTAGATGATCAAGAGATCAACGTGGTAGAGAAAGAGATCGATGGAGCTGCGGTTGAGCGCAGAGATGACGTTTTTATGAGGGAGGAGGAGCAGGAGAATGAAGGCGTGTGTGAAAGGGCAGATGACGGAGGTGACGAGACTGAAGCTGAAGGCAGAGATGACAAAGAAGGTAGAGATGAAACGGAGAAGTGGGAAATGAGTGAGGAAAGGCGAGTGGAAGGGGTGCAGTGGGAGTACAGGAAGGAGCAGAGTAAGAGTGCTCACTCTGACATTGATGAAGAACAGAGCAGAGTAAGAGTGCTCACTCTGACATCGATGAAGAAGAAGAGGAAGAGGAGGGCAGGGGCGTGGCAGATGGCTGTCCCTCTGAGCTCATCCCGTTCCCCTCCCTAGAAAGACGATACCTCCGCGAGCAAGACGTGGATGAGCTCTCTGAGTTTTATTTTCCCCACACGCAAGACGAGCTGGAGTCCGTTCCCGTCCCTAGCACTCCCCCTCCCCCTTCCTCTCCCCCACCTCCGCCAAGCCAGACTTCTCTACCCTCACTCTTTTCCCATGCCATCTGCCTCTTACTTTCCCTCTCCGCTGCAGCCCAGCCCTCCAACCTCACGTTGATGCTACTCTCCATTTTCCTGCTCTCCCTGCGCCGATCCCCGCCTCTGCCCTCCCTGGCCTCCCTCATCCTCTCTGCAGAGCTGGTCTTCTTGGCTCTCTTCTTCTCCTACCTCTTCCTGCGCTCCTGTTGCTCTCTGTCTCTCTCCACGTACCTGACGCTCAGCCTGTGGGTCAGCGGCTTCTTCAGTCTGGGCCTCTCCTTCAGTCTGGGCATCTACTACATCCCTGTGATCCTGATCTCCGCCTCTTTCCTCACCTCCCCGTCTCTCTTCCTCTCCCTTTACCTGGTGGTGGTGCTAGTTGTCAGGCCGACGCAGAGCTACCTCCATCACGCGCCTCGCAAAATCAACCGTCTCTGCATGCGAGTCCTGTTCCGCCTGCCTCGGCCTCTTTTTGCCATGTTCCAGTCGGTCTTGGGCGGCATGGCCGAGCGGAACCTCTACGAGATGTTTCCAAAGGCGGGGCGCAACTGGGGCCTGCGTCGGTCCAAAATCCCAGTTCCCCTGAAGAGCTTGTCTTTAGAGGCCCAAGCGGGCTGCACTAAGATCTCTCCCTGGGCCAAGGGTTTGCTATGGGCCAGGCGCTTCAGCAGACGCCCACTCGGGGTCCTTGCAGACCTAGCTAACTCCGTAGTGCTAAGAATAGCCAGTCGTGCTCTTAAAAAGCTGCCGCGCAGCGTGAGCGCCAAACTTCAAAGTCTAGGCTTGCTGAAGAAGCGGGTGCCAAGCAGACTGCCCCGGCTGCTGCCCCGAGAGGTGCGGGAGGGGAGGCAGAGGGAGCGGAGGAGGAGAGAGAGGGAGAGGCAGAGGAGAGAGGAGAGGGAGAGAATGTTTCGTGAAGAGTGCAGGTGGGAGTGGGAGTTGAGGAGAACCCCATCGGGAAGATTTGTTCGAGGGAAGATCCGTCCATGGAGATAAAAAAAGAAAGAAAGAAAAGTGTTAGTGTGGTTTATGTTCATTGTTGGGCCAGTGTTAGTGTGTCCTTCTGCTTGGGACACACATTCGTATAGTTCTGAAATTCCCAGCCTGGTCTTGGGTCACATTTATGAAGGGCAAAGTGTATTACACACACACTCACACAAATAGTGAGATAGTAACCTGCAGATGAAAGCAGGTTGCTGTAAAACCCTAGTGAAGTTCAACTTATCGTTATTGTGCTTTTTGTAAAAGTTGTTTTAAGTTCTGTTTATTATGGTTATTTTTGAGACCGTTTTTGTGCAATGGTTGCTTTGTCTTTATAGTGGTCTTATTTCAGAAGTTCTTACTGTTGTTGAGGCACAGAGAACAAATCTCCTGCCAGGGTCATGCTACCAAAGCTCAATACTGTGAAACCAAAGCTAGATCATTTCACTAACGTGACCCCCAAAACAACACTAGCTGTCAGTCAGTTAAGAAGTGCAATACAAGCCTGGGCAGTAAAATTTGGGACCACTTAGAGAATTTCTGATATTTGAAAACAGGATTTGAGGGTTTTGACAGACAAAGAAGGAACGAGTATTCGTAGATTCCAGAAGTCCAGTTGTCACTGACTCGCCTGATTTAAAGCAATGACGGGGTTTGACTTGATGGCAGTTGAAAACAAATGTTATTTTGAAAAAGGACCTAGACTTAACCCTAACCCAAAGCTGGGTGGGGGAAATGAACAGATGGAGTCCTGCTATTGCTCTTTATGCAATAATTATGTTATGATTTACCATGTAAACCATAGATCTTTGAATGAAGAATCATATATAGTCTCCTGCAGTTAGGTTTGTTGAACACAAATGTTTGTGCGGTGACATTTTG